AAATTGACGTCTTCCTTTTATTCTGTATTTTTATTTATTTTTTTTCCTATCGACATTTAATTCTCTCGAGCCACTTATTTTCGACTCACGTCGTAGCGTGTAGTGCACGGGACTTGCCTTTGAGTCACGTAGTGTCTACTGTATATCTGAGTCTTTGACTGACGTCTTGTCACACGAATGTCTTTTCAATTATGAATTGCACTTTGTTATCGTACATTTTGACAGATAAGACGCTAGTGGCGAGAGGTTTTTCACGCTCCAGATTCATTGTTCTTATTTACGCTGTAAGACATCTTGCAAATGGCGGATCTGTGTAAGTGTATTTTACACTTTGATAATCAATCGCTCGTGCTATCTGTTGTTAATTCTCTCGCGCGTTTATTATCTCTCGTATTTTCGATAGGCGCGCTACCGTCTGACTAAATTGTTATCAATCGCGAGGGAAAAGTTTTATCCTATCTGTCGGTTAACCTTAAAAGTTATCCAACTCTCTTCGGAAGGCTTACTCTATCTTGGTATTGCCTGTGATTTATTTCATGACGGTAACGCGCAGAGAAATTTGGTGCTTTGACTTCTCTTGAAAAAAACATTCAATGGAACGATTCTTCGGACCTTTATTGGCTTCTTTATTATTACGTAATGCATTTATTCGGCGTCTCCATTATTTCTTGTTGTTTTGTCTGTCGACTTAAATTGCTAATAGTCGCGATCGTCAAGGCCGAAGAATATATTGCAGGCGCACTGAAAATCGTAGCTTGAACAAATTTTCGAAAAATCATCTGACTCATCGGTGCTATTTATATTTTGCGCGACAATGGAAAGCACCGCGTCTCTTTCGTATCGCTTCTTTCACAAGCAGCTCGTTAGCTCTTATCACGGACACTAATCGTCATTTCTCCTTGCGACACTTTTCTGCATTTATTGCATCACTTTACGTACAATTTTCTTTGCTGTTTGCTTAAATATATCAAAATTAATATAAATGAGGACTTTTTTTTTTATAAATAATTTATCTGACGATCGTAAAAGGAAATATTGTTTCCTGAATTCTTTTTTTCTACAAAAATAAAATACTCGGCTCGAAATCGATAAAAGTATATAATTCGTAACAAATAAAATTAATGATAAGATTTTTTCTTGCGACAGTCATTCCACGAATAAGTAAAGTGGTACCTTCGATAACTGAAATTTCAAGGAAAACGAAATATGAGGAAATTAGAGGTTGAAGAATTAGAAAATTCAAAGATTCGTAGCCTTATAGAAGTTCGAGTTATCGAAGTCCCACTGTATCATATTTTTTAAAAGATAGATCTCATAAATCCTCAAGATGAAGAAATCCTTATCAATAACTTTCAACTTTTCAACCCCCCCCCTCCCTCCGCAGGCGGTAACGAGTCGCCTATTTACAGCATCCAATTTTCCACGTACCTCGTGCTGATTCGATTTCATGCATTTCACCGATATGGTAATATTCAACAGCACCGCGTGTCATTAAGCCACATACGAAGTGACGTGTGGAGAGAAAAGTTTTAAAAAACTGTTTTATCGCTTATCGAGGACGAAACGGGAACTGTTATCATTGACCATAGAGCTGAATTTATATTAACCCAAGTGGAGACAATTATACATTCAGTTAGTCATAATGTTATTTGCATCGAATTACCGTGATAAGAAAATATTTTTTTTTAAGACTCATACACCGACCATATTAGACTTGACTTCCATGTTCGTTCCTTTTTTTTTATTTATATTTTTGATTTTTTTTTCTTCAACGTCCGCCCTTCCCCTCAATCCCATTTTACTCTATCGCACGTAGGCGACAATCACTGCCATCGCGGTCTCGTTTGTTATCTGCCTAATTTTCTACACACCCGGTATTAGTTGCGTGTGGGTATACGTTTAAGGCTATATCAGGCAAATTATACCTCATGAAAATACACGCTTGTGGGTAGCGGACAGATAGGATGGCGCGTACATGATAATGATAGGTAGCCGCCATTGTTGAAAAATAATGATTTGAGGATTAGTATAGTAAATACCGTTATAACGGGTGGTAGATTAAGGTTGATTAAAAAAAAAATATATATCGAATTACATTATTGAGTAAGAAAGCAAGTGTACGGGTGAAATCGATATTTATTTAATTGTCCTTAAGGCACATCCGGTTTCGTAGAAACCACCGGAAACTGAGACCACCGCCCCTGCTATTAATTCATCTCCGGAAATCGTAGTCCTTGGCATCAATCGAATGCTCTCATATGCTACAGTGTATTATCGTATAATGCATTGACTGATTGAGAGATAAAAATTTTCGTATTTGATGTTGGATTAAAAATTTTTTAAAAAATTTAACCCTTTAATTATTTTTTGCTTACAGACCCTCAAGCAGAACCTACGGTATCTACCAGCGATGACGTGCACGTGTTACTAATCGTGTGTTTATTAATTACAAATTAACCACCAGCCTTAACGTGCTATTAACACCATGTAAAATACACATTGAATCTATGGAGGCACGGATTCAGCCATGGAGCCGCTGCTACGTATGGCAAGCTCCGAGGAGTAAGTAGAAATAATTTAAAATTGCATTATACAGTGCGGAGCGCGAATGATGATTAATGAAATTGGATCTCGAAACTTGGATTAATTTTTGGCGATTATTACGTTGATTAATTTCTATCTCCGTAGGATGTAGATTTTTGCATGCAATCGTACGTTATATCTGGACGGTACGATTTGGTAAAGGAACGTGGAGAAATTCGTAAATTTCATCACCATAGAAAAGAACGACGTGCATCGACCATACCTAGAAAGGAAACTCCATGAGAGAAGAGAGGCTTCAAGATTTACTCGTGTTTACAATATGCGGGCTCGCGGGCCCGGCATGTTTTAGTTGCGCGATGTTCCGGGGGCGGCGCTGCGGTCGCTCGACACATTTATTTGTCATGACTCTCGTACCGAATAACGACTTGGGACGATCGGCTGACAATTTGTTGTTGGTGTCTCGTGGCTTGATTGAATTGACGTTTCTTTTTTTACAGTATTTGCTGTATGATTTTTTATTATTTTTGTTTTAAACCATTTTCACCAGACTCAGGCTTGTTGGACTTTTTTCTAACGTGGCTATACTTACCTTCTGGCATCCTATAGCGCACTTACATGCTTGATGTAAATTCACTTGCTCACGCATCCTTTACCTACATCAAGATACCTAATTATTATGCTCGTTAACGAAATCCTTTGTATCGTCGAGCCTTGGATTGTCGCTGTTAAGCAATTCGATGTTGCGACGTATCACTGTCTCCGTTAGCCAAGTGTCAGAGGTTCTCAATTCCTTTCATTGACATATTCAACTGAACCTGAAAACTCGTGCAGAACGCATAGTCCATTTGATTTTGACAAACAACAAAATTTGACAGTTCGTCACGGAACAAATTTTGAATTAATTATATACAGTCTACCTGGGGTCCGGATCAAAAGTAGAAGAGTCTATATAGCATTTAGATTGAGTACGTCAACGAGTTCATGAAGTATACGCCACGAGTATTAGTTCAAGTGGAGTTAATGTTGCTTGACTAAAATTTCTCATATTTCGAAGTCTAATTAATAGTTTTCAATGATAAGGAAAGAAAATTTACGAAATTTCCATCGATTGATCATCTCAATATGTGGGACCGTTCAAAATTGGTAGCCATTAAAAGTCGTAAAATTTTAAGAGGAGAATCTCTCGTGCCCTTCGATTTTATTGTCATCAGTATATCCGTCCTTCTCTCGCTCATGCAAGTGCCCATAAGATCGTCTCTCTCGCACTCACGGCAGGTATGGGAAACCAAAAATTTTTGGACCTCGATATAATAAAAGTTTTTTTTTTCTTTATCCCCATTTAAACTAATTTTGAGTGACGATTCAAGACGACTCCTCGCTCTACAGGGTTGAGACGGCTTTTCGCCTTCAATTCTTAAGGGTGGCCTCACGCTTGATTTTCTATTTACATACGGTCGAAACGTTCTTTAACCGATATAAAATAGACGCTTGAGCCTTTTCTTAGCTTGGTTTCTATTGTCGCGTAATCCGCGGAAGCGCGTGTCTCGGCATACTTGTTACGCGTAATTGATCCTTCTGTTCGTTAGTACGCACTCTCCACGCACCGTTTTCAGATCACGCACCTCTGCAACCCTCTCGTATCTATGCTATTCGTACCTCGGCGCTTTGGCCAACGTAGAAAGTAGTCGTCGTCGTTGCCTATTCGCGCAAATGCCAGGCTGTGAATTTTCTCAATGACTTTTCATCAGCCTTTCGCACGACCCCGAGCGACTGGGATATTTTACGTGGACGCATCAGGCACGCGAACGAACGGCAACGGTAGGTAGGATGATTTGTGCACATATGTATCTTCGTATTTGAAGTATATATTAACAATTATTTTTTACGAGCTTGAAATACGTTTTTGGAACGTTCTCGAAAATTCTAACGTAATTGCTCATTTTTACCCTCGGCCGGATATCAATAGGAACGCAAATTTCCAGGCTCCTTAAAATCTGCGAGTTTCTCCTAAATTTATAGCGCTACCACGCACCGTGTAACAAACTCGATTCTCATGGGACTCTTAAATATACGAAGGTTCAGAATTTCGTAGCTATTTCTCTTCTTCTCTCTCTTCCCCACCTCTCCCTCCCTCCCTCCCTCCCTCTCTCGCCGTTCCATCGGCTGAGAAAAGGCTGGAAGGGGATGGGATTATCTACCTTATCCTAAATATCTGCAGATATTTTGACCGAGTTATTTTCCTTCGTAGACTCTGTCGCTGGGAGTCTCGTTCTTCGTTATTTTCTTTGTTTCTTTTCCTTTTAATACACATTTTCCGTAAAGGCTTCACGCCTCGCGTCTTCTCAAACGTAAATTCCCAACAGCATCCTGGTACAGGTACCTTTCGCTGTGCCTTTAATCTAGATGAATTTTTACATTGGGCGTTATTTGATTTTTTTTTTTTTTTTTTTTTTTTTTTTTTTTTTTTTTTTTTTTTTTTTTTTTTTTTTTTTTTTTTTTTTTTATAAATATTTTTCATACTCCCTTCTTCCATCTTCATTGTCTCCGTCCGCTCAGGTTTTACTACGTCGCCGCGATGAGGACTATCCCAAAGGATTACGGTCTCCTTCGGCATTTTTATTTCTCAAAGAATCTACAGTCTTCGTACCGGCTCTGTTATCTCTGACGGGTTCCGCACGAGAGAACAAATTTTTTTCTTTCTCTTTCTCTCCCCCTTTTTCTTTCTGTCTGAATAATCTTCATCGCCGTTAAAGACAGCTACGGTAGTACAGGGGCGTCCAGGACGTTCGAATTCCGGTATCTCTCTTCGGCACGCGTCTTACGTGAGACAAGCTTCAAAAAATTCCAGTCCTCTCTGAAAGAATTATTTTCATTAGACGCAATTTTGTTTTGACTAGTGAGCAGGTAAAGAAAATTAACTTTTTTTTTTTTTCATTTTATATAATATTACTTTTTACCCTTTATCGTGGTCCGGATGGCAGACCCTGAGGATTTTTCCATTTTTCACGTTTTCTCCAAACGTCCTCCTTTTCTACGGTCGACAGTTTCTAAAGCATTTGCGTAAATTAATATTTGCTTACACTTTCTTATTTGTCGGACTCTTGCGTAGTCGTAAAAAAATGGTATACAATAGACGTAACCAAAATAACAGTCAAAAACTAGTACAGTGTCTGTCAGTTTTTTAAGTAAAAAAAAAAATTACGATGGGCATCCTCCAGAATGAAACATTCTTCCCAGACCCGTCAAGCTCGATTCACTCGTTGGAACTATCAGTTCTCCGCTATTACGACTCACCACGTAACACTCCTTTCGCTCGTACTCCTTTTACCCTGGAATTAATAAACACCCGTTTCTATGCGCGCGAACAAACCTGCCTATGGTTTGGTCAGGCATACCAGTGCTCAGCGTTAACGACCGGTCGCCTCCTCCATTTCTGTCGTTCGATCTGGTTCTCGAGTCGAGAGCGAAGTCGCCACGACGTTACTTCAAACACACTGTTTGAATCCTGCTTTTGTTCCCGCCACTTTTCAAGCGCACCCCCTTGAATGTACTTCTTATTAAACATTTCGGATCGGCTGGTTAAAAGTCTTAGAACTATTATCCACGCGACACCAGCTAAAACTCGAGCGGCTAACAGTTTGCACTCGTACCCACTAGTTGCAGCTGTCACTGTTATTTCGTTGCCATGGAGACGAAGTCATACAGGATAAAACTGGTTTGAGCCAAAGTACTTCTGCGTTACCTTTACAGCGAGTCTGCTTCTTTTTTCTCGTACAATAATACACGCGATTCATTTTTTTATTTTGCAATTGACGCCTGTAACCGTCAGTCTGCTTTTACGTGGCTCGTGTTATCCGGAAGTATTCCCAGGCTCGATTTACGATCGATAATCCTTTTCAATTCGGTCGCCCCCTGACAATGTCAATACAGGAAGTAAAGGCGCGTCTGGGTCAGGCTGATAAATAAAAGCACAAGCCGAGCATACATAACCTCACTCGGAATATTACATGTTAAAACGTACGTAAATATCCTAGCCAAAGTTTCCTATAAAAACGCATTGTTTTTATACTCGAATTAATCGTCAGTCTCTCTTCGTCCAACGCTCGTACCAGGTAAAGTTTCGTGTTTACGTCGAGACCCATCCGGATTCAGGAAAAAAGAAATCAATGAATCATCTGTAAGCAAAAATTAATTTGCCTATATACCTTTCGTTCCTTTTTTTATTCTTAATCACTGTTTTTCTTATCGATACTGTCTGTATATGTTGAGTGGACTTGGAACCGAATACAGAAATCACTATGAATCCCACCCCCCGGACTATTCGCAAAGATGGCCGACACCTCGGGACACGCGAAACGAATTTTCCCAGATGCGTAATACCTGCGGCGAATCGTTTACCGAGCAGACCGCGTAATTGGGTAGTAACGGCCAATTAGCCGATGACGTTAACGGCGTCGCGACGCCCTCCCTCGTAACCAAGCGAAGTATATACCAAGGCGTGTATCGTCTGCCGTAGAAACTTGAGAGTGACAGATTGCGATACTTTCTTGTTTCTCGTGATATCGGAGCCCATTTGTACGGGGCGGGGGGGAAGGAGGGGGGCTATTAGGGGAACGACAACTGTTGGTATCACTGTACACTCGGACAAAGTACATGTACGTATCACTACCAACTGTAGATAGACACACGACACGTTTGTACTGTCATATGTTGAGTTTGTTTACAAAGCATAATGTGGGGGGGGGGGCGATGCTTGTTAATTTTTTTATTCGTATTTATCAATCAATTATTTAACTTTGGATGTTTTTATAGCAAATAATTAAAAATCGTCACGGATACCAATTGCCGTGTTAATTTTTTAGGGCGGTGTTTTGTAGTCTATGAATTTAATGTGCCTTTTTTTTTGACAGCTGGTAAACAATGCAGTGATTGGCAAATCGCACGTGGGTCCGCATGATATTTTTTTTTGCAAGGTATACACGCGGGTTAGTTTTACGCTATTTGGTTTGTCTGTTTTAGCGTATTTCGTGATTTTTTTAAGTGGCCACGTGCTCTACTGGTCGCTAAGGGTTGGACTGTTTGACAGCTGTCAAAAGGGAAAACATTGAACTCGTGGATCGGCTATATCTATAGCGTTTGGACGAGGGACACGTGGGTATCTATAGGCGCCTCTACAGGCGTGACGTAGGCTGGGCTCTGTACTTTGTGGAAGATCGTAAACCTGGGCCTGTGTATGGATACTTTGGCTGTAACACGGAAGCGCAGCCATTTGTTTAGCTGGCACTGTGAAACAGATGGTTTTGAGCCTTAATGTCCTGTTTTGGCGTATTTCGTGATTTTTTCAAGTGGCCACGTGCTCTACTGGTCGCTAAGGGTTGGACTGTTTGACAGCTGTCAAAAGGGAAAACATTGAACTCGTGGATCGGCTATATCTATAGCGTTTGGACGAGGGACACGTGGGTATCTATAGGCGCCTCTACAGGCGTGACGTAGGCTGGGCTCTGTACTTTGTGGAAGATCGTAAACCTGGGCCTGTGTATGGATACTTTGGCTGTAACACGGAAGCGCAGCCATTTGTTTAGCTGGCACTGTGAAACAGATGGTTTTGAGCCTTAATGTCCTGTTTTGGCGTATTTCGTGATTTTTTCAAGTGGCCACGTGCTCTACTGGTCGCTAAGGGTTGGACTGTTTGACAGCTGTCAAAAGGGAAAACATTGAACTCGTGGATCGGCTATATCTATAGCGTTTGGACGAGGGACACGTGGGTATCTATAGGCGCCTCTACAGGCGTGACGTAGGCTGGGCTCTGTACTTTGTGGAAGATCGTAAACCTGGGCCTGTGTATGGATACTTTGCCTGTAACACGGAAGCGCAGCCATTTGTTTAGCTGGCACTGTGAAACAGTTGGTTTTGAGCCTTGATGTCCGACAGTCGTTGGAATCTGGAAACAGAAGCCACAATAGTCAAATATGTTTATCTTGCGATGCGGTTCGTCTAAACGCCTTTGATATTCCCTGGTATTGCCTGTATATGTCTCGTGCAGATACGTGGACGAGGCAACGTGCGTGCTTGGATGGGTCTGGATCCTTTACACGCGAGGCGTCTAGACGTCTTCTCGTGAGCTAAGGAGTCCGCGTCTTTGGCAGGGACTGATAATTACGCGCGCGTGTGTGTGTGTGTATATATATTATTCAGTCTGAATTCTCTATCCGGCCTTTTCTTTGGAACTGGCTTGAGATTGGTCTTGGGAATATTGGAGTAAGGGATGCTGTATTTTTTTAAAGGTTAGGCTGGGTTAACCTTTTATCCGATTCTTTTACCCGGGATTGTGGATTGTTTGGGAGAGCTTAAGGATCTCGGGTTGTTATGTCTTGGGGATACATTTTTTTGGGGATTTATTATATTTGCTGTCATTTCTGGAATTGTCAGACACATTGTTACGTGTATATATATATATATATTTTATAATATACAAGTAATATAAATCTTTTTTGCAACTCATTTTATTCAAGATATTTACGAAGGTTTGGTAAAAATTTTTGAAAAATTTTTCGGTCTACTCTCGATCGATTTTTTTTTTTCCTTCGAATCGTTGATTCCCTTTGAATTTCAACGTGTTGCTTGGCACGCGATGTGTGACGACAGCTCGACTGCGAAGTAGCAACTTGTAAAGATGGAAGAGGAAGAGTTTTTTCCCTTTTTTTAATCTTTAGCAAGAGCTATCCCTCTGTCATTCACTTATCGCGAACTTGGCGACTTCCTTTCTATACTCCAAGTTCTACAGGAGCACTCAAGTTCAACGTGCCTCGCGTACGTGCCCGTTTCCCACAGCGCGATAACACGGCCACCACCCCAAGGATTCTTGGCAGAAGTTTCGAGTGGTCGTCCCGAAATAATACACGTTGACGAAACCGAGAGGCCGATTTAGCGCCGGAAGAGTGTCAAAAGTAAAACAAGACACGGAGAATACGTCTGCTTGGGAGTAAGAGGCGACGAAAAAAAAAAGTGAAAACAAGTAAATTTGACGCTTCGGATGAAATTTTTTTTTATTTTAAAATGCTCGTTTTAGCCCTCGCTACGTTAACCACGTCTATCTGAAGTATTATCAAAAGTCGTGGAATATTATAAAAAAAAAATTTTCGCTACGTAAATTTTTGGACCATCTTTTTTTAAAAATTTTTATTATATACTTTTTTATTTGTATTCGAACTTGTCCAAATATTTACGCACTGGTCTAATTAATCGTAATGGACTTTACTTTCTGTATGGACTCCACGTGTCTAACGATCTCCCAACAAATCGATTTAACAGACTCGTAAATGCACGCAGAAACTTCACGTGGATGCGCGATCGCGTGTAACAACGTTGCGCCAGGCTAATGGGTCTGAACTATTTATATTTGCTGGTATTTCACGACAATTTACTTAATTTCCTCTTTTTCCTTCTTTCTGTTGACATACGTGTTCGCCTTATCGGCGATGGTTCAGGGTATCGCTGGAAAATACACTTGTGCGGTCGGGCCTAGCGACAATTTAGTTTACGGGTGCAGTGGGAAAAAAAAAAAACTTGCTGAGTGACAGGTAAATGACACGTGCGTTTTCACTTTTTTCCGATAATACGTTCACCGGGTAATACTAGGTGGCTTGGTTCGTTTCTTTCTCTCTCTCTCTCTCTGTCAGAGAGAAAGAGAGAAAAGTCAGAACGCCATGGGGTTAACCTCCCATATAGGAAAGTACCGGCGTCGGGACGCCTGGCTCGCCGCATGTAACGCGGCCACCCGACCACGTACCCGGTTAAGTGCACGTTTCTACTATTTACGTACGCGAGTGACATACGACAAATTTTCAATGGATTTCTATGGCAACGTGACAACGTGGTTCGGTGGGAATTTTTTTGATTTTTTTCCCTCAATCTCCTACGTTTTTGGAAAAAATTACACGCGCACATAGACAATGTGCGATTTACGACGACCGTTGAAAATTTTTTTCCTTTTTCAACTCGCTGCGCCATATTCGATTTCTCATGCCTGTTGCTAGCGTGCGAAAAAAAAATAGTATACGACGCACGTATATTAATGCACTATTGATTTAAAGTCAATCTTGAATTTTGTACGGAAGCAAATATATGTACAGGGTTATTCAGTAGAAATGCACCGCCTGAAGTTAGCCGCCGTCCATTTGATTTCTATGGTAGAACGATGTTCGGGTGATGCGTTTCTACTGAATAACTATATACATATACATATATGGGTGCATATGTTTTGGAAAAACGTTCCGCCGGACCGATAATAATAATAACGCGTCGCGGTTGGCAATGGAATTGAGAAAAAGGTAGAAAAGCAGTGAATAAAAGGAAAAAAAAAGTGAGAGACTGGAACGTTGGGTCTTTAACCCGTAGTGCCTTGGGCAAGGTGAGCACCTGCGCGCGAGTAACAAATTGTAATTAATTATCGCGGCCACGAACACAGTGACGCCTTTGCTTTGCGCGTTCAATCCGCGTCCGTAATATTCCTCCTCGTGATTTCAGTCATTTCACAGCATTTGCGCGTTGCTGAAAAAGAAAGAAAAACAGAAAACAAGAACGAGTACCGAAAAGCCCTGAAACGAAATGGCCATAATAATAATGACAAAAGCGTTCATAAAACTCTGTCGCAAAAAGTTTTTTTTTTTCATTTCAGCAAGTATGTGCGAAAATATATATTTGTGAAGCGAAGTTCATTAGTAATGGAAAAAAAAAAAAAAAATTGCGGTAACTCTTCGAGCCAAAGTATATGACGTCATCGGCGTGCTTTTGGTGAAAAATATTCAAATATGTGGACGATAGGGGAGGGGGTACGTCTCTGACAAGTCTAATCGAAAAGATACTTGTCGTTTCAATTTTGAAAAAAAAAAAAAAAAAAACATTGAAGCCGTTAAACGTTACGGTATTAATTTCTGTATGCGGTGCGAAAACTCGTGGACGAAGCTTGATGAAAAATTAAAATGGATCAGAGAGCACGACGCTGAGCGTCTCGACGGCGGGCCGCTTCCTCGGTTAAGTAATATAATTTGAGTTAATGGGCAGTTAGCTAGGGATTACGACTTCGTAAAAGGCGGCGGACTCGACGCGAGTTTCACGACTAGCTCTATCCTTTTTCTTGTTGACTCTCTCTCTCTCTCTCTCTCTCTCTCTCTCTCTCTCTCTCCCTCTCCCGTTCTCATTCTCTTTCTTAACACTTAAGAGACAGATAGTTCCAATCTGGAAAATACGTAGGTACAGTCGTACGAGACATCAAGATGCTTGTTAGTTTAAAGGTATTGTTAGCCTGACTCAGGATAACCTGATCTGACCTTTAGCACTTATACCGATCAGAAGGGTCTATTTATTTTCAGCACGTGCCACGTTCTATGTATATAGAGTGTATCAGCCCAGATGCACGTTTGAGATTTGCGGTGAAACGGTGCACAATTTCGAAAATCTGATGTCACAACCATTGAATATTTTTTGATTGCGCATCGAATGGGAATATTATTATTTTTCGCTTAACTTCCGGTCGCAAATAAAAAAAATTATCTTTATCTTTCGAGCCTTCGTGTTCCTTGCCGTAGATTGTGGAGTCTACGGCGAGGAACCCGAAGGCTCGAATATCCACGTCCAGGAAGACGAAGACTCCAAAATCTACATCCGGGATCACGGAAATCTACAGCAGGAATACTTCGGCTTCTAACTTCTAATGAAAAATAGCATTATAATATATTTTAGCCACCTTGTACGCGTTTGCGTCTGACAGAACGCTTACCTCAAAACAATTGCGAATCGTGAGTTCGGCGTGAAGCTGCTGCACGAAGCTAAGGCGTTCCTCCAGTATCAGGAATTTGTCAAAAACTGAGAAAATTTCGGACGCAAATATCTCTCTTATTATGTGGGCAATCCGTCCGAATTTTTTTTTCATCTCTATTATTTTTTCTTGCTCTACAACTTTTGCATTTAACTTTTTTCAATATCATTTGAAATGACAAAGATAATTTTTTTTATTTGCGACCGGAAGTTAGGCGAACAATAATAATATGCCCATTCGATGCGCAATCAAAAAATATTCAAGGGTTGTGACATCAGATTTTCGAAATTGTGCACCGTTTCACCGCAAATCTCAAACGTGCATCTGGGCTGATACACTCTGTATATATATATATATATATATATATATATATATATATATATATATATATATATATATACACACACACACACACTTTATATGCATTTCTATATACTTATACGTTAATAAAAATTTTCTTTCGTTCCTCCGCCTTTTTGTTTTTTGTATACTCTTTCGTGCTGCATTATTCAAATGACGCAACTTACTCAGGCAGTTAAACGTACAAAGAGGTACACGGGGTACATAGTTCGTATATACGTTTATGTATAGATAACAAATGTCGTTTTGGTCCATCCTCTCCTCCACCGTCTCTCGAAGATGGTCTCTATAAATATGTACGCTCCTCTCCAATCTGGGCTCGGGTCCACTCGGCTGAGAGCAGTCGCGTCATTTGGATGACGTTACGTGTTACCGAAGGAAAATACATTATGTTGATAACAGTAAACATGTAATTCCAATATATACAGGTATACGTATCCTTTTAAAGGTTTCGACTTTGATTACGTCATGACAGCGACCCAGAGTCACCCAATGGTCAGATTGATATCCACGGTTCGAACGGTTTCTTTGGACGGGTTGGAAACGGTGGTAAAATTTTTTTCCCTCTGATTTTGTCATAAGATCCGGCAGGTAATGACGGGATAAAGAAAGATTTTCTCGGGTAGCAATTACTGCGATTTTCCTTGGATCCTTTTTGTCCCTTTACCGCAGTCGATCTGAACTCACCCTTACGCGGGAATCCCAGCGTGACGGCTTTATACGTGTGTCTTCCTTCCTTCCTTCTACCACGTCGTTTCGGCTTCCTCGCCGGACTAATAACTCCATGCCCGAGATAGACCAGCCATCTTTTCCTAACGAGTTCGGTTAGCCCTCTACGTGGCTCGTACGGATTAGTTTTCCCACGATGGAATTTAATGCCCCGCCAGGACCACCGCACGAAACCTGACGCCATTACCGAAAACAAAGTCGTTAAGCTTCTCGTCGAGGTTAGTATGGGAAACGTATGCTAGATGGACTGTGCTTTAGTACTGACTTTATCCGTCGGGTGGCGCTGCGATCGCGGACGAACACTTCACTGACTGCGCTGTCGTTCCAGGTATTCTTTATTTTACTTGCTTAGCGCAACGAGTAAACGTATTACCGTTGACTTCGTAGGATTAAGGGACGGCCGTAGCCCAGTGGATAGGGTTGCGGATTCACGACCGAAAGGTTGGAGGGTTCGCGCCCAGCTTCCAGCGGCATTCACCAATGGTTTTCACATGAAAACTTAGGATTTCGCCCAACACTGTTCGGATTGGGTGTATAAACTTTGTAGGTACCCTCACGCTGAGTTGAATAAGGCCCGTTCTCGCAAGGTACATCGCCATCTATTGTCGAACTTCCAACCTTGATTATTAGGACCACGTTACTGGCACATATCCCCCATTGGGGATACAGCCGTATAAGGAAAGGAAGGAAGGAAGGACTTCGTTAGATTTGAATTGTCGTATCTGAATATTGTATCTTTGTATAGAAGTGTACATAGGGTATAGGGTTTTTTTTCTATCTTTGTGGCGGTGTATTTATTTTTCTTGGTTTTTATCTATGTCAATTCGACCACTCGAAATTTCGTGGAATCATCGGTACTTCAATGCATTTTTCCTGGGGAGTGGATTTGGACCTTGATTAGATACGCTTAGGGGGTATTTCTTTTGAAAAATTGCCGATACGCGGTCGTTATCGGAATAGGCTACCAGTCATGTTTATTATCTTGGAAAAATAGTCCCTTTTGGCTACCGACTCTCTATTTACATTAGCCATTCCTTGATATTTGTAAGACTTGGCTGCAGGAACTGGTTGGTACATCGTCGTCTAGGTGGGTCCGCACGTGGAATCGGCTGGTTAGAATCACCATTTTTATGGTTCGCGTAGAGAAGTTCTCGAACGAGAGACTCCTTATCGGGTTTCACGTATCTTTAGTATTATTGAGGGATCGTACCTCTGGAATTTCAATGGAGCCAGATATAAGCTAGCCTCGTCGAAAAATTTCGCGGATACCCGTAAAACGCAATATTTAAAAGGGGGAAAATTATGTAGCTTTTTTATTAAAAAAAAAAATATAAAATTTTTTAAAAATATTTTACGAACAATTTCTGCTTTGCTTCGGCTCGTTTCCGTTTTTCTGTTTTTTTTTTGTTTTGTTAACTCCCCATCATTGGTCCTGCTCAGCTATCCCGTTTGTCAGACATCTCCAGTTACTTATTGACTATTAATATTATCGTTCGTTTGTGCATTGAATTATGCAAAGTGTAACTACTTCGTGTTCACCGCCTTGTCGTTTTACATGCAGCCATTCGCCAAGAAACTTTCAGAAACTCTACGGCTTTTATGGAGCTTCTCTTCTGTGAGCATTTTCGCGATAACTCTAATGGCCATTTTCGACGCGCCAAGTACGCTATTACTGTCAGTCTATTTTACCCTGATATCTACCCCGTGACGGCACACCTTGACCCACTGTGTATCGCACGAACAGCGTTCGACGCCTTTGCATCGTGAAAAACGACGGTATCAACATTGTCTTATGAAGATGCGCGGTCCCAACTGTATTTTGGAAAATTTTTTCCCACTACGCGGTAACAATGTGTAAGGGAGAAATAATTTTTCTTTTAACTAATGAATAAAATTTGTTATTGTATTTTTTGCAGAAGCAAGTTGCCAAATCTGAAGCCAGTTCGACGATAAGGAGAAAGAAGATAAGTTTGAAGAAGACCGACAGATAGCGAAAACATTGAGTAATAATACGCTTCAAAGTTTTCATTCTTGGTATATCGTGCTTTAAGGCGGACACTCACGTAACGAATATTCTTCGGGACTTTCTTAGCCTTGACGTGGAAATCAAGTGGTGAATTACAGGCGTGTGTTAGATCGACGGTAGTCCGAAAGCACGTGGGATCGTTGATTACAGTGTAAAAAGTTGGCAGCAGTGTTGGAGTGATACGTCATCAGCCGAAGAAGAACATACTGGAGAAGGAAGAATGTCACGTAAATGGTTCAAACGTAGCGAGAGCACCTTCAGACCGCCGGATATTCACAGATAGCAAGAGCCTGCGCTTCCTGAAGAGAGATCCGGTCAAGTTTGAGGACTTGGCGTTTCGGTCAAGGTCAGCGGTTGACCTTTCGCCGGAGGACGAGGAGAAGAGAAAAAGGTCTTTCAGGAGCAGAAACAAAGTCAAACTAAGTCTCAGCGATCGAGTGAAGTCACCGAAAACGAAGTTGATCCGGAGGATCAAAGGAGACGCGAAGGAAACGGTGAGTCACGTGCCGACGACTTCAGTGCCATCTGTCGGGAGCGGTGAGACGCTCGAAGACTCTCGAGTAATTACGGGTAAATTAACGAGAAACGATTCGTTTCTAAAGAGACTCGTGAAGTCTTCGCGTGAAAACATAACAGAGTCCTGCGAGAGACTGGTAAGGAACATTCAGAGGAGTCCACATTTACTTAGAAAAAAATTTTTTTACAGTAAAAGCAGCGACAGTCCCGGCAGTTCGCGAAGCGAGGAACGACCAGTGGCGCCACTGCGTCGGAAGCGCTCCAAGAAACGTCCACTAGGAGATCAAGGATTGACCAGAAACTCGTTGAAGAAGTCCAATCTGCTGAAGAAGATCAGCAAAGGACCAGGTGGTACGGTCACTACCGACAAGGACGTTGACGTTAGTTTTAATGAAAAATCCATAGGCGCTGCAAAGGGTACATCGAGCCACGTAGCTGGACTTTCGCCCAGGGTGACCAAACGTCTTCAGCAGGAAGAGGAAGCTTGTCCAAGTTCTCAAAGTGTCTCCGTCGAGGACATCGACGAGCTGATACGTTCGGAGGATAACTCTCGTCTGATACAGGAGCGTGCTAGTTTACGCAGAAGGTTAGAGAAGTTCAGCAGGTTGGGATTGATCGCCGATCAGATTTCAGCAGGAAGTGGCGATTCGAGATACGAAGACAGTCCTCGGCTCCAAGGGGAGGGTCCTTGGATATTCGATCGTCCGAGGAATATCAGAAAGCTCAAGTTTTCGCCACCGCCCGAGGATCACGCGGTGCAAAGTTCACAGTCTCTCATAAGACTTCACGATAACCCCGGGTCATTCGATAGCGTTAGCGGGAACGTGCGGAACGACTTTTCGACGTCGCAGGACGGCAGCAGCCGCAGCGATTACAACGACAGAAACGCGGACGACGGCGACGAGGATGACGATGACGAGTCAGCCGGTCGGCACTTGGTAAAATGCAGACTTGCAAATTTTGCAAATTCCCCGGGACGACGTGGCGGGGAATCGCGCTATCAGATCCCGCAGTCAGTTTCTTCGGTAGCGTCGACTAAGACCGACGGTACGTTCGTTCGGAACATCAGGAGGAAGTACAGCCAGTCCGAGGACCCGGAGGATACCGGAAGTCGCGGAAACAGCCCCGAACGTTTAATCGATATCTTTCGTGCACGGAAGGAGCGAAGTGCGTCGAATGACACTATTGACATCAGCTGCTTCGATAACACTTTTATAGCGGATCCCGATGGTTCTGGCAAAGTGTTAACCACAGTGAAGAATACAGAAGACAGCAAAGAAAATTTAAATTCAATTTTGAAAAGTGACCATTATTTTTTTAATTCCACAGACAGTACTAACTTGCCCTTGCAAGGTGCAGCTTATTCGACGGATATCGTGGACGGTGATAGATCCGGAAGCAAGCTCAAGGAGAAGGCTCTTGGTAAAAATATAAATTTTCCAAAAATTGAAAATAAAGATAAAATGAAAATACCTATCAGAATGTTTCGCGTACGCGAAAAATTGATCTTCGGCCTGAGTGCCTTTGCCATCCTGTTCACGTTGCTCCTGGTGGTCGATCTTCAAATGGATCTGGGGTACAGTGGTCATCACTTGGTACCGAGTCATGGCCGGGTGAAGATCGGCGAAGATCCTAATCAGGATACCGTCTATAATAACTTCAGACGGAAGTTTCTTCAGCGTGTCAACGGTAGCCGCGAGCAATCGAGCGGCGACGCGTCCGGCGTGACGCAACCAGACAATTCTGCGACTCTGAAGAAAATTGTACACACCGAGAAACCGGAAGTCCACGATGACTTTTCCGATCTGGAGGACATTGTGGTGAACGGTGTTGGCGTGTCTGTCGAGGACGGCGTCGTGAGGATCAGTGGTGAGGATCATACGGACAATCCGACACTGGCCGAACTAAACCGAATAAACCCGAAGTGAGTACATGAAAAATATATATACTTTGACCCAATTCAATTTTCCCGCGCATATTTGAAAATTCATAACGACCTTCCTCGTAAAACTCACTTGATTTTTATTCCCATGTACGTAGGCACCCACCTGACTTTATTGATTCCTACTGGGTTATCCTGCATCCCGATAAGGCACTCCCGTCTCACGGTACCTGGATAAGGGATGAACTCCTAGGTTTTTGGTGGGATGAACTAGTACAGTGAGAGGACATTGCTTCCGGTTACACGCAGGAGACCGTTTAATCCTAACTTATAAGTTTAAACTCTGCTTTCTAGATATATATACACCCTGGCGCCCAACCATTCCGGGGGCAGTTTCTACCACCCCTTGTCTACCCTTCGCCAACGGGATTTACCTCCAGCTGGGGATCCAACTGTTTTAACCATCTTGATGCTCCTCGCTTATACGTCCTTTTCCAATTCCGCGATTCCGTTGCGTTGGCTCATTTGATATTATATAACCTGCAATCAATGTAATTGCAACGGCGACAAAAAATATGGATAATGAAAAAAAAAAATTTTCTCTGTTGACCTTGTGAAAAATAGTAAAAAAGAACAAATTCAAAAAAACAATACTTGAAAAATATATAGAAACACACGAGAACTGATGGTAGATACTTAAATGCATTTATACGAGACGTAATTTCAATGAATGGCAACACTGTCGACTGTATTTCTTGTAATTTAATTTTTTTTTTCATTATCATTTCTCTCGATCCCTATTAACCCGAGTGCATCCTGCTGCGATTAACAGAAACTCGTGCAGCTACCGATAACAATTTTTTGTCTTTTTTTTTTAAATTATGCATCTCGGCTACTGACTCGTATCCGGTCGCAATTTTGTATAATATTTTTTTTCACTTTTATCATTGGAATTTTTTAGTCACTCAATTCCGTATCGTGTTATGTGGTAGAAAATTAAAAATATTAGATAATTGCAACAAAGTCCAACATGCTCTGGAATAGTTTCAATACTCCACGTGTATCAGCTACTTATCAATATGCATTGATAACCAATCGATCCTGCCAATAACACTAGTCGTGATTGCTGTTACATATATAGCTATACCCATGTCTGTACACATATGCCACTAGGTAATGACGTACGTAACTCACATAAATCAAACGTTAAAAATATTGGCGACGATCATATATTTTCTTAAGGGTGGCTTCACTGTCTTAAAAAATATCGAATTAGGCTACGTACACATGTTTACGTAGTTGCGCGTACACTTCGTCATTCTATATGTATTCTCTCAAAAAATACCAGAAATAAGGTGCTCATATGATGCAATATTTTTTTTAGTCGTCTCAAACACTTGTATATACGCCCTAAGAGGTACACAGAGATATTTTGTATAAAAATTTTTATAAAAAAAATTTATTATCGGGTCCAACCCCATCCTGCGACAAAACCACGTGTGTAATTCATTCGAATGTGACCTGTAGTGAAGTAGGAAAATAATTTTTTTTAATTTCTACCAGAGTCTACAGCATATGCTTTTTCCGTATGCGCGTCTAGGAATTCCAATTTAATTTCATTTTAAACGAACTGAACGTGCAGTTCGTCCTATAGAGTTGTGAGCTAGGCATAGCAGCTATAGTCGTATAGCTATAGAGCTAAAATCAAATATTAACTCAATTCGCATGTTACGTGGACGAATTAATTAAATTATATGTTTATCGTAACTGTATACTATAATTGAGATAACGTTGCGGTTATCGTTGAATAAATACTTCCTTATATTTAGTAGAAATAAAATTCGCCGGTAAAAAAATACAGTTTTTACTTGATTACATTTGGGAGCTTTCTATTTAGTCGGTTAGTTACTTTTGCACGAGCCTGTACACGCGCACATGTAAATTTCATTGTTAATAGTTTCCCAGTGCACTTGGGCACGATGCCTATCTCCGGTAGTGCCGTAGCCGTTGAAGAGGATACATTAAAAAAATAATTAACGAAAAGCACTCGTTAAAGACGGTAATGAAATTTTGTGTAAAAAAATGTTGTACCTGTTATTCTGTTGCCTATACACGATATATATACACACTTTCATATACGTTACGTGAACATTTGTAGAGTCCGCGATCCATTCATCGTGCACCACTTTATTGTGAGATAACCTGTATTTCAGCTGACGACGTATGAGAGAGACGAACTTTATTGCAGCGAATGGCCAGAGCGATTTTATATCTGTTATGTATGCGCGCAAGTTTATATAGCGAAACGCACGCGTGAAATGGTCAGTAGGGATAATTATCAGAACTGGCAATTATAATTGTACCCATTGTGCTGTCTCGTTTCATTGATGCGAGTATAATTTCCGACCTCTAGTTTTTCATTACCACGACGTGATTAAGACGACGGCCATATCCTCCGCGCACAACGTGATAGTCTGAACATTTTTATTGCAGTACGACGCGTGTATGGTGTGCAAGTGTGAATGGGACTTAATAATGGAAAATTAATCGCGGTACGTGAAAATCGCAGGAAACGTTACTGCTGCGAGCGAGGCCGTTGATTGGTCGTTAACGAATAGTACAGGTACAGTGGCGCCATCTGGCAGTTACTTAACGAAGCTAGTTCACTGGCGTTTGACCTGTTGTTTCTCGTCTGCCACGAACCGACGGACGCTGTAGGCTCTGTGATTTCTGTCGTTTTGGAAAGGTTTCTAAAAAGGGTTCTTGGTATATCCTCTTTATGTTTATTGTCGTAAGGTTTACTCGACCGCGGGACGCATTGTAATCACGATGGCGATGACCCGTCGTCCAGGGAGTAGTACGGTATTGTCTCCTCAGCAACAAAGCTCGCACAATGGCCCAATGTCCTACTCTCGCAATGTGTCCTCTGAATAGATCGTAAGTGTGGGATTCTTTGACGGAAATATTACACGGTGGAAGTATACACGTAAGTGCTACAAATTAGCATAGAAAAATTAATAATTATTAACAATTATTTTTAAGCGAAAGTGCCGGTACACGTTATCACGTAAAACATTCCTCCGCGTATCCCGTGACGGTTTTTATTTGAATTTTTCACGTGTCGTCTTTTCTATTTCCAGTGGTTTCTATCTCGTAATTTTAATCCTAACTCGGTGGACTTGCTGACGCGAGTTTTTTTAGTGCTAATGTTGTAAAAATGAACGAACTTGATACACCGAGACGCAAGAAACCGTATCCAATGCCAGCACGTATATGGTATACTCTGGAAAGGATATGTACTGTGGAGGTTAGGTTAGTTACCGAGGTTACTATTCTACATGTGTCCTACGTGCATATATGGATTTTCATATCTCTATATGTCACACGTATTCCGTATATGTATCTAGTATACTCGTGGCACATTTTTCATCTCGGCAACTCGTTTCCCCTCTTGGTTGTCGCACACATGGGAGCTCGCCCAATCCTCTGCCGGGACTTGGGTCATGTTATACACTTCTGACCCCAGGCCAGGATATGCTTCCCTTACGCGAGCACAGAATGGGATATTTTATTACGTCGTGACTCGTTCGCGACTCGTGTCACAGGAAGATCCCGTTCGTATATACGATCGTTTTCTTTTTCTGAGATAACTAAGAAATTCTACTTTGACGTTTTTTCTCTCTTCATAACCATTATCGAAGTAGCGTGTTACACGGAACGAACTGACAAGATAACACTGACAAGAGTATTCGAGTATAGCTAGACTAGATTTAGAGGTTAGGTTACGGTGTACCACGATAAAATGGGGTTTGATTTTGAGTAAATAAAAAATTACCGGAGTTTTCGTGTAATACGAGTGAAAATAAAATGGCGATTAGTTGTGAAAAAAAAATATGACATTTCCTTCGACCAATCATGTGCATTCTAAAAGAGATACTTGCAGGCTAATAGAGTCTCGTGATATTAGCGCATAAGTTACGCTCTGTAAAACAAACAGATGCGTTTCTCGTAGGGAGAAGCTATTTTCTCGCTAGACAGCGCCTGTTTACCATCGTCATTTATAATTCCTTTTGCGGACGGTACGCGTCGCTGATGGCGTCGTCGTCAGCCGTGGACTTTTGTTTACCGATTCTTCGGTACGTGGTTAACGCCGGGATTTTCGAAATCGCACGTGTCCACTTTTTTTCAAATTTCGTCATCGTCTTCCCGAGCGAGCATCGTCCACCTCGCAGATAAAAAAAATGCCAATAAAATATTTAAAAAAAAAAATCAAGAATCAATATAATCTGTATCCGTTATATTTCTCGTATTTCTATTTTACCTGCATTGTGTTTTTTTTTCCACAGACTATAATCCAGTCGCGCTCTAATACCTGCGCGTTCATAATTCCCGCTCTGTTACGCTAGATCTAACGGTCGATAAGACAAATCGAAGCAGATCGATTGAACATCGCAATTCACATCGAACAACTCCAACGACTATTTTCAACATAAAGCATCCTCCCCACGACAGCGACAACGTGAAATTCAACGATGATGCATATGCTACCTCGTTCCTATTTGACAATGGAATAACGTGCAGTTAATGCAATTGAAAGAAAAAGAATTAATTGAAACGGCCACCGAGGGAGTCAAGTTCTCCGAATGACCCTCGACTCAATGCCAAGGCTGATCCTCAACTGACTACGATGTCAACGTATCAGCAAAGCCAGATGCACAGAACTGAATAATAATAGAAATTACATATGGCGACGAAGTTGGCTTTAATTTTTTATGCCCTTGACGTATACAGCATATACATACGGTAACTCTACCACGTGTCCCGGCATGAGAGATTCCTCTCGGGTGCATCCACACTGGAATCGGATGCACCCATACTTACGTACACACCCGTGCATCAATGCATGCTGATTGCGGCAAAATTTCAAATGCAAAACTCATGGCTGCATTGACGTCGATTTCAAAATACTTATCGCTGCTTGGCAAGCAACGGGGCACTGATAACTTTAAGGCTGTTCGCAATTGCAATCGCCAGGAATTAGA